CAAGCAGCAATATTTTGCATCTCGTTTAAGAAAACAGCACTAAAAGTGGGGAAGTTAAGGTTGAAAAACTGTGCATGTTGTGATTACAACATTTTCTTGGTTCTTTTGTCCATTTCTAGACTAAATATAGTGTCTGTCTGTTTGTCTTTTCTCTCTGTCTTTCTGTGTAAGGGCAGGGAGGAGAGGCCATCTGCACAGCATTGTGGGGGTTAGAATGTGGTGACATCAGAGGAAATGTCAGAGATTGTGGGAGGCAATGTTAAAGAGAAACTCAGCTCCGTGCCTGAAAGCCTAACTGACATTTTTGGACAGTCGGAAAGGTCAGGCATACCTTCAGATGAAAACTATTACTCCTTATACAGTTTACACAGGTGGGTAAAATAATATCATATTTTTTACCATATTTACTCGAGTTTCATGCTCGTGTGTTACTCCATAACCATGAATGACAATTCATACATATCATACAGTATATCATGTATACATATATAATATCATACATATATATACACCATGACAATAAATGCTTATATATATATATATATATATATATGTAATGTTATTATGCACATTTTTGTTTTAATAGCCAAAATTAATAATCATGTGAATATAATTTAAAGTGTCTCAACATCATATACATGTTTTGTGTGGTGGCATTTAAATTCTATTTTTATTTGCAATATGTTTCACATAGCAAAATTGATAGACCTCTCTTACAAATCTGTCAACTAAATTCAAAAATACCTTTGTATCCATCTATGACAAATAAATGATATATTATAGACCTACTATAAACTGCGAGCATCAATGTTTCATTTAGCATCACAAGCTTTATTGGGACGTTTGGATACATTTGCAAAAATTGCGTAAAACTATCGAAAAATGATTTCGTAAACGTAAAATTATAATATTTTATTTTCCCTTAAATAGTCATAAATAAATAACTGAATCCATCTCCGTTTAAATTCTAACAAGCGAGCATTTCGAAACCCGGTGATAACAAGTAGGCCGCATTTAGTGCAGCCTCAATCAAACTACCCGTACGACCGATACCCATTAATGTCTCCCGCCCTGTAATTCCGCACACCGGAATGATAGACAACTTCTTCCACCAATTTAAATGAAGGATTGCAGAAATGAGTACACCCTAGATTTAATTCAGAAAAGATATAATATTCTACTTAGTATGTCCTCCAGAACTTAAAGTACACTGCTCTGACACTTCTTGGCACTGAGTGTACAAGTTCATGACAAATTTTCACATCTGTGCTGTTTAAATCCTGGACGACCTCCTTAAATGCTCTGATCTTTAATGGGGAGTGCTGCACAGCTCGTCTCTACAGAATCCCTCACAGCTGCTCAAGAGTGTTAAGATTGAGTGAAATACATGTCCACTGAAGGATTTTCAACTCAGGAGAATGATTATCTTCATTGTCATGTTAAAAAAATGCCCAACAATGCAGAGGATGAGAAGAGGGTAGCATCTTCAGTTTCAGGTTTTTGTATTACATCACACAGTGGTGTGTGAATTCATGTAGCAAAAATTCACTCATCACTAAATGAAAACTTAAAGTGAAGACCTGATTATTTCAGGAGCCAAGTCCATTGTTTTTGAATGTTGGTGCTACTTCTGCTATATTTTCACACTTAAAACAATAATTTGGTGTTCCTCTTGTACCATTGTCCTCTTTTATGCTAAGAAATAAGTCACCTGGCAGTTCTCTCCCAAGTGGTTCCACTGCTGCCAGCATTAAGTCTGAGTATGATTCAGTGGGCTATATAACACTTTTAATTGTCAGGAAATTACTTGTCTTTAAAAGTTTTGGTTCAATATACTTACCTGTTGATCAAAAAATAGCCTTAAACCTATACACTTATTTATTTTATTTTATTTTTTTAGTAACTTTCAGGAGGGTGTACTCATTTTTGCAAGACAACATTTTATCACTTTGATAAGAAAATCTTATTTTGCTGAATAATTTTGGCATTCTTCTTTGGTAATTGATCAAGCAAGCTTGTTGGAACATTACATCTCCAAAGAACCCTAACATGTCTTCTAAGTAAAGAGTAATTGCTGAATTTGTTAAGTTTTAGAGAGGGTGTACTCATTTATGCTGTGCACTGTATATGTGTGTGTGTGTGTGTAATATGAGTAATTTGAAGTATTTTTATATTCATTTTCATGGAGAGAAGATATAATATGATGCATACTACAAACACATTATTAATTGTTACTGTTAGGCTGCAGTGTCATTGAGCTCAACAACTCATCATAGTCTAATGGATTTCACTGAGTAAAGTGCAGATACAGTATCTGTCTGCAGTTTCATCAGATGTCATACAATATCATGTTTTTTATCATATTTCATGCTTGTATGTGTTTATGCCAGGATGACACAGTGAACATTATTTGAAAATTAAAGTACTTATGTATGCATGGTAATTCATATGTATGCGCGCATGTGTGTGTGAGAATATATCCATAGTATACATATATATATATATGTACACTGTATGTACTACAGGCCAAAACTGTTACTTTTGGCAGCTGTGCCATTGAACTCAACGACCCATCATAGTCTTAAGTAGATTTCACTGGATTTTTAAGTGCAGATATCTGACAGCTTCATCTGAGGCCTGTTCCATCTGAGACAGACTTTATGTAAATAAGTTTGACTCTGATTGTTAATTAGGGCTTTAGGTGATTAGTATTCATATGAGTGTGTGTGGCGCCTGCTCTCGCCGGGCGTGTCTGTGCTGCGTGGGGGTTGGGGGAGCGCTGATCTGGCTTCAGTGACCAGTAGGAAGTATGTGCGCCACAAACTTGCCGGAATACTGATGAGGGAGGTGAGAAAGGCACCAGTCCACCAGGGAGAACTAGACGCTTCCTCCATCTCATGCACCACCAATGGACTTTACACAAGGTGCATATTTTAACGCGAGAGCGTTTCGATCAGTTCCTCAGCATACTTACACACATGTAAATCAAACTAGCTTTATAAAATAGAAAACATGCATAGGTCAGATGACCAATAAAGCCCACCTATCCCCCAATTGGCTATGGCAAACATATACCCGCAGTGTTTACGGCCACACGTGGGTTTCAATAGACCAATTTGATGAAAAGCCCCTCATTGTGCTTAGCGGGGTCCTATTCAATCAGCCATGCCTGTTGGAAAACCATTCCTACACACCACAGAGAGGTGTCTCAAAGGGCAAGAAAACACACGCCTTGAAAATGAGAGGAGGAAAATCTGAAATGGCTGAAGGTCTAAAAGGTGGAGATGCAACCGCTCTGCAGGCTGTTGCGGCCTTGAGAGAGTCCTCCTCAAACAAAAAGCAAGGAAGATAAATAAACTTCATCCTTTTTAATGTCTTTGACTGCCCAGAGAATAAAGCAACACTGAAAGCTTTTCCCCCTCAGTTTTATGAAGTCTATAAAACTTGTCATGACAGACAGAAAAGATGTTACTAGCAGAAAGAGGTAGGTATTTGAAAACACACATAACACTGTGTCGCTGGTTAAAAAGCTCTCCTCTGTGATTTGACCTTTGTGTTTATCGTTTAGAAAATGACAGTTGAAAGGATCCTCAAAGTATGTGAGTTTCATCGGGGTCAGTGAGGGAAAACGTGTTTGCCTTGTCTGTGACAAAAACATGCACAATACACGGTGCTGAAGCACTTATGGCTTTTGGTATATACTGCCCCCTAGTGATCTTAATAACAGTTACACTAAATGAGTTTACAAACATACAAGTTACACTTAGATTTTATCCTAGGACAATAAAATTATCAAAAAAAGAAAAAAGAAAAATTCATGTGACAGTGATTAATCAACCACTGGGAATGCTAACAGATTTTCTCCAAGTATAGACCTATTATAGAGTATATTCTTGGGACCAAAAAGCAACCATTTAGCGCCTTGAACACTCTAGCAATGTGCTAACAATCACTAAGGATTTCAGAGTCAGAAGTCAGAAGTAAGAAAGAGCTTTATTACCAAGTATGTTTACACACACTTGGCGGCAGGAGCTTCCAGTGCAGAAGAAAGTATGAACATAGTGCAAACATACATGATAGTGCAGACATACATAGGAATTACACAGTAGAGATGGAGTATAACACTATAAGAAAAACAGACAATTAAATAACGCACTATATACAGAAGTAGAAATATAGAGAAAAAACATGTAATTGTTTAAATGTAAGGATTTCAGAGTCAGAAGTCAGAAGTAAGAAAGAGCTTTATTACCAAGTATGTTTACACACACTTGGCGGCAGGAGCTTCCAGTGCAGAAGAAAGTATGAACATAGTGCAAACATACATGATAGTGCAGACATACATAGGAATTACACAGTAGAGATGGAGTATAACACTATAAGAAAAACAGACAATTAAATAACACACTAAGTAGTAGAACTATATTTCTACAGAAGTAGAAATATAGAGAAAAAACATGTAATTGTTTAAATTAATGTACAGATGTTATTTACAAGTGTGCATTTTACAAATGTACAATTTTCAGATTCTATTTATAAATATGTCAGTTATGATGGACAATGTACAGTATAGTTATGAATGTTATCAATAAGGATTTCTTACCATTCACAACATTTTAACATCATGGTCGCATAGAAGAAGAGTCGCCATCATATATGGTGCTTCATGGAGGATCCATTGGTGAAAAAGTGATGTAATGCAAAATTTCTCCAAATCAGTCCTCATGAAGAAAGAAACTCATCTAGGCTACATCTTAGATGGCCTGAGGGCAAGTACATTTTTTTATTTATTTATTTTTTCCATTTCTGGGAGAACTATTTCTTTAACATCACAGCACCACCCACTCTGACTTTGCTTTTATATTTTTCACTAAATCTGAATGATGAAACGCTTTGCCTGAAGTTTACAAACAAATGTTATTTATTTATGCTCAAAAATACAAACAACAACATGTAGAAAACTGTATCCTGGCAAGAAAAAAAAAGACTTCAATTCGGCAATATAAGCCTTCATTAATATACAAAAATGTGCACATATGCATGTTTTTACCCCAAGTTTATTCAGTGGGGGCAAAGTTTACTCTTGGCACAATAAGGTTCCTGTTGAGTCAATTAAAAGGCTGGAAAAATACTACTTTCTGAAAGGATCTGTGAAAATCAGTCAGGAAAAAAAAAGAAGAAAAAAAAAAAGGAAAATACAGGTAAATCTTTCTGAATGTTTTTCATCATCCAAAATATTCATAATGCCAAAACACAGAATCAAATAATCTTATGATAAGAAATAGCGGTTTTAATATAGTAGTTTAATATAGTGTGTCCTCCTGTTCATTCTGGTGAAGAACATCCTCCACATTTAAGCCAAATGAACACTGCCATATTCAGACTGGCCATCAATTACCTGGAGAAAACAAAAAATAAAACTCAAGACACCATAGTAAGTCCCAGCATTCTGCAAGACTCATACTGGCAGTTATATATTTTCTGGAGCCAGGTTTGAAAGCCAGATCCAGGTCCATTTTTAGCTCACGTCAGTCATTCAGAAAGCCACATGCAGTACATTGTATGGTTGTGCACAGAACATACACTTACTCCACCATCAGTGATGGAAGTTACATGTTCTGTTGAGTTATTATTAGACTGAGTCATCATTTTAAATTTCATAAAGACATACAAAACACTGATACTCATGCCGTGAATGCTGGAATGCAACAAAAACTATAAACATGCAACACACAAAAACATGCTTAAAGGAAGGAAGATGCCCATTAAATAAACAAAGAGACTATTATGAGTGTCAGACATCATTTACATTACAAACTACACATACATTACTCATCCCTGACCCAGACACACCTTGCTCTTGTGACAATGCACTAACCAATACATCTGAAAGGGGCCTTAACATCCTTTTCATCCTGTTACGTTTCCTGGCAGGTGACAAAAGATAAACTACACTACTGTTCCAAATGCTCACTAGCTGCGTTTATTGGATCAAAAATACAGTAAAAACAGAAATATTGTGAAATACTATATTATTACAACTGAAAATGTATTTTAAAATGTCATTTATTTCTGTGATGGCAAAGTGGAATTTTCAGCATCATTACTCCAGTCTGCAGTGTCACATGATCCTTCAGAAATAATTATAATATGCTGATTTGCTGCTAATGCTTATTATCATCAATGTTGAAAACCGTTAATATTTTGTGAAAAACATGATTTTTTCCCCAGGCTTCTTTGATGAATTAAAAGTTCAGCATTTATTTGAAATGTAAATCTTTTGCAACACTATAAATGTGAATTTACTGTCAGTTTTGCAGTTACTTTAGAATGGTAGTGTATGTTTCAGTCCAAGAAGCTCCATTAAACGTTGGTGTCAACAAGTTGGTTGACAATGCAATGCAAGGACATCAATGTAATTTGGCAATTACTGTCCGTAATTGACAACAAACATAAAATGTTCACCCTCTCATTAATATTAATAACCTTCTATTAATATTTCAGTGATGTCTTTAATCAGTTTACTCACTGTGTGTGTGCACGGGCAGCTTCCGTCTCCTGGAGCAGTTGGGATCCAGCCCTGGTTTGGAGCGCTTAGCCTTCTGAAATACAGCCAAGGCGAAAAGAGACACTGTTGCAGGAGGGTAGGGGTCAAAGCTTGAATGTGATTCAGATAAAAAGGAAGTTCTGTGAGGTTCAGGATCAAAGCTGCAATGGTTTTAAGCCCTAGAGATGTTCAGATCAGTGTTAGTTTGGGGAGAGTGGGCTTTTGGTGTGCCGTATTGTGGATAAGGTGCATATTTGGGCTTTGAGTCTAAGTTTGCCCATTGGTCAAGGTCTTCATCACAGGTCTGCATTTCTTGCTCGCTCGAATCCTCTTCATTTTCACCATTATTCTCATCCCACCAGACAGGTGGTGGAGGTGATGGGAAGTCCATTTCTTGTATTGTTTTTTCTTCTTGCGTGTTCGTAAATTCTTTCTGAATCCTTCCCCAAACATCTAATTTTTTCATACCATCATCACCACCTAGAAACTTCCTTCTCCTCTCTTTGTATTCTTCTACCCAATCCTTTTCTTCTCCAGTTTCCACCAATGCATGCTCTTCCATCTCCTCTTGCTCCACAAGATGTGTATTTGGATTGACTGGTGACCTATCAGCAAGTTTCGAAGGGTTAGCCCAACTGTCTTTTAGTTCTAGATTGTTCATTGTGCTGCCTAAATGTTCTAGATCACCGAGGCCTCTTTGGAGTGATTTTAAGCTCTCAAGCTCCATGTTTTCTAGATGAATACATTGGTCCTCTTCATCTTTAAGTTCCAAATTCTCACTCTCTACATCTGTACAAGCTGGATTCTCTTGCTTCACATGCTGTAGATGTAGAACCTCTAATAAGTGCTCACTTTTATCTGAACGCTTGCACGCATTTCTGAAAGGTTCAGTTGTGACTGCTTCCAAAATCTCTGTGGTGGGGATCTCAAGAGCATCTTGGTCTCCAGGGCACAGCTCTTGTTCGGCTTTAGCAGTGTCGGGTGTCTGTAAGGTTAGTGGCACCTCAAAACACTGCCTGCTCTGCTGACGTCTCTGGGGAACCACAGTGAAGGTGGTCAAACCTTCTCTCTCAGAGGGGTTTCTCAGCAGCTGACAGCCAGAAAGTGCCTTAAGCTCAGCCTCAGGGGTGTGATGCTCAGAAAACAAACCTGTAGAAGAATCTTCTGCTAGCTGATTCTGGGATATAGAAGAACTACAGAGAGAATTGAAAGAAAGATATTGAGAATCAGTTACTTCAAGAAAATAAACAGTGATTTAGTTTCCTGGTTGATATTATCTGGCTGAAACATCCACACAAACTATTTGTACAGCGTTTTTCACAACAGTTTCAAAGCAGCTTTACAGAAAACTGTGACATTAATGTTTATAATACCTATGTATTCATGCTGTATTGTCACATTTAGCAGATTAGATCTATGCAATAAGCAGACGTTCAAAAGGTAAATTTCTATATTTCTAAGGAAGTGCAAATCAAGAAATGAATTCAGCAAAATGAACATACTTTACAGAAGATAGGGTTCTCTGTTGCCGTGCCTGCAGAGATTCTGCAAGTTCACTCATTACTTTAGCAATTGCAGGGCAGCGGTCAGCAATGCAAGCTCTGTATTTGTCTGAACTCTTGTCATCCCCTTGAGCTTCCTCTACTGAAGCGAAACAAAGTGTTATGAGAAATACACTGTAGTGTTTTTTTGAGTGTGTCTTGTGCTCATCTGTAAAACCATCTCATCTGCAACCTATCACTAATATAGCACCTTAGAAAAAAACAGCACAGCGTACAATATGTATTTTTATTGAATTTATTCAAATATGAATCAGTATTAGTAAATTGAATTTCAAAAGTTAATTTGGCAACAAAAAAAAACTAACAAACCAAAAAAAAAAACAACAGCAAAAAACAAACAATGAAATTCTGAAGAAAAAACAAAAGACAAGCACACAGAACGTTGATGACAAATATAACATTAAAAGTATTCTAAGAAAAAGCAAAACGGCAAAACTAAACAGCTTTAATTAGAAATGTTGATTTATTTGTGGCTGATGAATTCATTTTTGAATTTCTGAATTTTGAATAATTTAAGATGAATTCTTAAAAGCATCCCTTATGACCCCGACGTGTTTTAAAAAAAATTTTTTTAAGACATTGACATTTAATAAAGCTGAACCGCAGTTACGTAGATAAAAATATCAAACACTGATTACAACCATCTTGGGAGCTGTGGCTCAAAATCAAGGCACAATTATTGTGATAAAGTGTTACAGATTACACAAACACTGAAATAACTTTATATTAAAAACATTAGAACCTACAAACTACAATGAAATCCATCTGTCTAAGGCATAAATTGACTGACTGTTATTGACCTGAGTGTGCATTACTTTATCCTCTAGAATTGTCTTTATACTAACTAACAAGGTGAAAAAGACTTCACATTACAGTTTAAAACAAGAGGGAGTGACATTAAGCAAGGAAGCCAATTAAACAACAGAACAAGACTCAACAAGAACTTAAGTTCAGTGCAACGTGCATAAGACATGAAGGCTATGTAAAGACACAGAGAACAAATAGCCCATCACCGATGAAAGCAGGAACAGAGATGCATGCATGGAGGAGAGGAGGAGGAAAGGAGACTGTGCTGCCTGTTAGGCGCCCCCTCCTGGTAGTACAGTGTAAAACAAAAGCAAATAATTAATCCAACATAGTTGGCAAGCGTAGACAAATACAATTGTTTCTCACATTTGTTCAAGCTTGATTCTATGCTGAAACTGCATATACTTGGCCTCTAGGAAACCATCACTAGCATGCACACAAGTATTCACAAATGCTTAAACATAGAAAACTAAAAGAACACTTATGAACAAAAATGAATGCATACCTTTGTTATCTGAATCAGATGGGGTGGGGGCGGAGTTCACCGTTTAGTCCTTTTAAGGGAGGACTCAGTGGAAGAGATAGGACTGAGCTGACCCTGAGCAAAGCACAATGAGGTTATGATTGGAATAAAATACTAACATAATGCTTAATGCGTACTGCATAGTAAATACTTAAAGTGGAACAGTATACATTATACAATTTTAAACCATAATATACTGTAGGTGTCACATAACCTCATTACACTGTAGTTTCATTTATTGTTAAATTAAATTCTGTTTGAAAATGTCTTAAATTTTGGCAATCAAGTAATGAGTAAAATATAAGTTGTAAAAAATTGCAGCTGTTATTACAAGCTCATTCGTCACAGTGGGCATTGAGGGTCAAACTGAGTACATTGCACTGTGGGATACTGTAATTCATTCTGTTTTCTTTTTTGTTATATACTATATTTTTTGCAAATAAAGTAGGTCTATATAGTATTTCAAGCACAAAGAAAATCTGAATATTATGAGCAATATACTGTATATACTGCAAAAAAAAAATAGCATGCCATTCAAAACATGCCACAGAACCATACACATACAATTTTATTTTAATAGTTAGCCTACTGTTTAACAATAAAACTGGATTCTGATCAGTAGAACTCCACATTCCTGCATGCCAGTGTTGTTATTGTTAACTAAAATTTCAATTCAAAACGTTTTAATTGAAATAAAGCTGAAATAAAATAAATATTAGATGAAAAACCTGGAATACTAAAATTGCTAAAAATTAAATAAGAATGCTAAAAAGCTAAATAAGAATATTAAAAAAAAAAAAAATTTATTTACCAAAACACAAGAAATAAATACAAAAATTAAAATGAAGACTGAAAATATAAAAACAAAGGCTAATTCAAAATATCAATGCATACTATAGTAGTATATAAATAATACTAAAATAACACTGATGCCTACATATATGAATATTGGATGGCCAATGGTACAGGTTTGTTTAGACTGGTATGGGGATGCCCACAGCATTCCCACCTGTTTTCCAGTAGAGTCACTCTCTGATATGTCTGAAAAATCTCTGGTGGTAAGTCCACAAGTGACACTCTGGGACACCGTCATAGGAGGCTGTGGAGCGCGTCTCTTCTTTGGCATGTCGGCATTGACCATGGGTAAGGTTAAGTGGCCATTAACACCGTTCACCCTGTCCGCACATTGACCGTTCCTTTCAGGAGAGTTTGGAGCACTGCCAATCACAGCCTGTAGAAGAAGAAGAAGAGAGAAAAAATAAATAAATCACTGAATATGTTGAAAGGAGTCAAATATTACAGAAAAGGAATATTTTTTCTATATGCAAGCTGAATTAATGTTCAAAAACATGAGGCAAGATAAACAGATGCAAAGGAAAGCCGAAAGATAAACAGATGCAGAGACAGATGGGTGGACCGGCGCAAGTGTTTTACAATGTTACAGTTTGGTTATGATATTTCCCCCATCATTTCCTAAATATGACAACCAGCAGGTTGCACAGACTGCTAAACCAAACAGACTGACAGGTGTACAAACCTGCTCAGGTGTTTTCTTGTTCTTCTTGAATAATCCAAAGAAACCTTTGTCTCCCTTCTCCCTGTGGTTCTTTTCTTTAACAGGGGATTTCTGTTCTTCATCACCACCTGGACAAGCACAAAAGAGCCTCTTAGTTCAAACAAACTTTTGTGGACAAAGCTCAGCAGTGCGGAAATTGCTGGTGCAGCACTATTATATAAAGATAACAATTACATCTTTTTTGTGATACAAAATGCAGTTGCTTGGAGTTTGGTACCTTTATGAGTTAATACAGGATCAACAGGATTGTTTGGTACCACTTTAAAAAGAAAAAAAACTTAACTGCAAGACTAATATTACTTCATTCACATATTTAAATACGTAAATGCAAGCAGATGCCTTGTTCAAAAATCATAAACATGGGGTCTCATTCACTAACTGTGTATTTTTATGATTTTGTGTGTGAAATCTATGTATGAACATTTTCATAAATTATGATTCATTAATAACTTTCATACAATTGATTGCAATAAAAACATAGCAACTACATGTTTCCTCTGCATAAAAACATAAAAGGTTATGTAGTACACAGAATATGGAGATGGTTTGGGTGTTTAATGCAAATGAGAATTGTGGTCACTCATTTGTGATACTCCAAAATCATTTACATCAGGGGTCACCAGACTCGGTCCTGGAGGGCCGGTGTCCTGCAGAGTTTAGCTCCAACCCTAATTAAACACACCTGAACCAGCTAATCAAGGTCTTACTAGGTATACTTGAAACTTGCAGGCAGGTGTGTTGAGGCAAGCTGGAGCTAAACTCTGCAGGACACCGGCCCTTCAGGATCAAGTTTGGTGACCCCTGATTTACATAATAATGAGGTTAAAAACAAATTCTTGCGAATTCAAAACTGAATTATTCATGCAATTATTAGTGAATGAGACCCATAATGTGTACTAAACACACACAGTATGTACTGCACATTGTATGGTGTTTTGAAATTAATATGATACAGTATGCAACATTGCCACTATGTCACTACGGTGCTTGTACACTGCCCTATTTTTCTTTCTTTTTTTATTTCCTAACCTTTAATGTCGTTGGCATACAGCTCCCTGATTCCATAGTCATTGAGTGTTTTGGTGAGATCCAGAGGTTCCTCTGATTGATATGTCCTCAGTAAGATGGTGGCATCAGGGTCAAACTCACACTTCTCACACACTGTGGGCATCAGTTCAGCCAGCGGCACTGTAGGATTGACCCGTACTACTGCCTTATGGGACTTCTTGTAGTTTATCAGAAGACGAACTGTTGCCTGGAAAATTCAATTTTTAGATAAATACATTTTTAATGACAGGTTAAACGTGACTTAAGACCCTGTGCCCAACACATGGGTGACCTGAAAGTATGACCATTCAGAATCAGCAAGATACTCTTGTTTTAGGCACCAAGAGGGTCCAAATCCTAGATTAATTGCTTGATATTTGACAAAACCGACAAAATTTTTTATTTTAAGATGAAATGGTAATCAAGGTAAAATTATGAGATATGGATACAATTAAGCTTTCAATAAGACTTACCACAGGAACATGAGGTTTCTTCTTGTTATCACTTCCTTTAGTTTGCAGAACAACTCTTTCAAATTCAAGAGAGCCAATAATGGAGCTGGGTTTGAAATTGATGTGGTTTTGATTTGTGGAAATAAGCTTAATGACATGATCTGATGGAACGAGATGGTGTTGAGCACACAGTGTAACCAGAACATCCATAACTGGTTTACTGCAAGCACACACACACAAGTGAATTAAAATATGACCCGAATTGGTGAAAATGTGCAATATCACCTTTATTTTTTCCCTCTCGCTCACCTGCCATGCACTGTGGCTGTGGTCTCCTGTCCTCCTGGGAGCAGTACAGTCAGAGTGATGTCCCTGTCCATGAGATCTTCTTTGGGATCCATAGGTGTGTTCTGTAGCTAGTATGAAAGATAGATGACACTGTAGATTTTGGTTTTCCTATTGATGAAGCAAAAAAAATTGATGGGTCATTCAGTTGGAACACCCTACATTTATCCAAGTAGGAATGATATGAGAACCCATCTGGATTTGCCTTTCTGGAAGTAGTTCTTTGGAACAGAGACAATTATGGCATCCACTGTTACACACTCATGGAAGAATGCTTTGTGATGAATCACATCACCAACCTGTGAAAAAATCCTCTCTGTGTCTCAGCTACGGCTGTGCAGGGGAAATTTCCAGATATGTTCCATTGACTGAATTTTCTACTGTGGGCTCTGTTAGACATGGATTGGAGCAATACCTCTGTGATGTCTTAGCTTAATATTAGCTTAAACAAACTTTTGTTAATCTTCAACACATCAACTGCCTCTAAGCCCCTCTCCAAACAATATTTAATTGTTGAAATGTATATTATCATTTTAGTTTTTAATTATATTAACATGCATAACTGTGTGCCACAATTTTCTCACAACCTCCAACACAGCAAAGTAAATAATTCCTTATACATTATTGCTCAAAAGTTTGGTGATCTTTCAGTAATCGTTTTACTGAAATTAAAACTTTTATTTAGCAAGGATGCATTAAATTGAAATGAAGTAACACTAAAGACCTGAACCTGAAGGATCACGTGACACTGAAGACTGTAATGGCTGCTAAAAATTAAGCTTTTCCATCACAGGAATAAACTACATTTTAAAATACATTAAAACAGAAAACAGTTACTTTACATTGTAATAATATTTCACAATTAATGCAACCCTGTTACCAATCCTGGAGTAGCCTATTTTTTATTTTATTTTATTCAAATCTTCTATCTTCTATAATCTACGCAATTACACAAATCAAAGTTTTAAAGTGCATTCAGGCATGTTCTAAATTTTGATAACAGTGTTGATAAAGCCCTGTTTTACCCTGTTCGTTGACCGTGCCATTAAACACCAAAACCAAATGACGTCCAAATCACAGCTGATTTAAAAACTCCAAATTGGACTAAAACAAGTTGACTGAAAATGGACTTTAATTAATCAACAGCTATTCTGAAAGTGACGAAAATTAAAAATAATGTTGGGGAGCCAACGCCTTTGGGTGTGTATGGTGCTCGTTTGCTGGAGCGTCACGTTTATCATATCTGGGCGTGAGCTTTACCTCACGCCTCCCTGCCGCTGATCATCGGCGCAAAGCGGAGAAATGCACATCAACCCATGCGTATTTCCAATGAGAACGAACTCGACAAAAGCCTAATAAAACGCCAAACGCACGTGGCCATCCAATGTTCAGTAAGGGCACACAAAAACACACATTTGGTTTTTATATGCGGAGACATTTAACCCATACATGCTCATTTAAACCTTCGTTTGTTCGCAAATTGCAATTTTAAGACTTACGATACATTCACAACCTTAAAAGGTTTGTTATATCGCAGCAGGATTAGCTTAAGTACTATCAGTAGCTCACCGACGCGCACGTAAAGTTTTGGACACAATTACGCAATGTGTGGCACCTGTATCTTATTCAAGCCCTTACCTGACTCCAGTCCTCTATAAGGGGGTTCTTCCAACAAATGCCATTTAAAAACAAAAGGAGGACTAAATGACCAAAGCAACACGTGGATGCAAAGACAAGCTTTGGTAATCCTCTAGTAGTTTTGTCCGTAGCCTACCTTATGGACATGCCCAGTGCTGTGACATCAACAAATCTGTTTCCTGTGCGCGTGTGAGAGAAAGAGAGAGACAGTGATATAACATTCTGGTTTTAGGCTATTGAGTTGACATGATTTAGATTTGACTTAAAACGCAAATCAAAATACTTTTTGTTGAGGAGCAATATATGACAAAGATATATTTTGTTTGTTAATAAGTGAATGTGGTTAATGATGTTAGTCAATAATGTCTTAAATGTTTGAGGGAAGCTGTGTGAGAGAAAGGTGGTATGTGGGCATGAATGAATCAAGCTACTTGTGTTGTGCTAATGCACTAGCAATCTTCAAGAACTGGCGGCTGATCACATGACGGATGAGTAATCCGCTTATTGTGGTTGTCTGTTGTCTCAGAGTGTGCAAAACAGTCGGCTGCAGAAGTTGATTCATTTCAACACGTTTTTGCTTGCTCAGTAGGGCCACACAGAAGTGCAGTAATTTATCACTTTCATACAAGAGGAAAACTTATTGGTATTAAGCACTAGAGGTTTCTACTCTCCACAGCCCTGAGGAACACGGTCAAGGACTCATCACAGTAATTATGTAGCATCTATGCTACAAAAATGCTTCAGTCATTTAAAGGACTGTGGGTCCATTGTATCAAAGGAACACACACAAAGCAAGATGCGCAAATATAGCCTTGTGTGTACATGTGTTTACATTTCACGTTGATAACATGACCTCGTTCCCCTCGCGGTGGGTCCCAATGCCATCTCTCCGTGTGTTTATTTCACACATCCTCTGACCAGCGGCCAGCTCCACAAAGAAAAATCAGACCTTGAATCTTTTCTCAAGTGTCTGTTTGAGTTTCAGGTCATGTGTCTATTCTGGCATCTGAACAGATATTCATGAACTTGTGTGTGTGTGTGTGTATTTAGTGTCAGAGGGTGAGTAGAGATATTCAGCAGACCTATTCTAATGAAGGCATGTACTGTCACACTTTAGTGCTAATGTAACCAGTAGGGGTTCAATCTTCAACTGGCTGGCAGGAGCCGCCACTGACAGGTCACGTGACCTGCCAGTGGGAATCAGACTGGCAGCTGCCACCAGCCACTGGCAGATCACATGACCTGTCAGTGGCGGCTCCTGCCAGCCAGTTGAAGATTGAACCCCCTCTCAATGTAACTGCTCTGTGTGTACTTTATAATTTAGGGAATTTTATTTATTAGCAAATATAGACCTTTTTAATCTAATGAAAAAATATAACACTGTATTTCTCTTAGAGGAAGAATTCAATTCAATTTGCATTTACAGCACTTTCATTTTTACGGTCATTTAAGGGTGATTCTTCAACGTAGAGAAATTTTACATCCCAGTACCGTAAAAAAAGAAGTTAAATTTACTGTTTAAAAAAAAACAGGCAGCTGTGATTGCCAGAAATTCACTGTAAAAATACTGTGGCGATGTTTCCAGTATTTTGGAATGCCTGTATATTTCAAAACATATAACTGTAATATAATTTCATTAATATATCATTATATTTAATTTCATTAATGTTAATATAATCTCCCTGAACTACCAAAATCTGCTTTTTTATCTTATTATAACATTATCTTTAAATAAACAGATAGCCATAATAATAATAAAAGTGGACAATGTACAATATTTAAATACAGGTAATAAGCTATAGTTTTGAATTTATGTAGCCTAAGGATGTGAACGTGTTATGTAACTATGAGTATTTTGACTCAATACTATAATATAGACTACAAAATAGCTGTAAGCTACTGTGACATTAAGCCCTAGCATCACAAAAAAATTTCATTTTAAAATGTAATTTTTGCCACAGAATTGACAAACACATCAAATGTTAAAAAAGTACACACGGCCAAAAAGTGCCCACATGGAAGATACATCCTCACACCATTTTTACTGTCATTTTAAATACACTTTTAAACGTTTAACGATCATTTAAATGTATGTTTCTAAATGCGTACATCGTTTGTCCAGGCGACACTGGCTGAAGAACGCAGGACCCTTTCACTGAACGTAGTATTTACCGGGTTATTCATCTGTTCGGCAGGATAAACACTTCTGTCATAGCCAGCTGCTCCATTGAGAGAGTTTACCCGTATTCTGTCCGCTCGGCGTACTGGTGATCCTTCAGTACGCCCTATGCCTCGATGACAACCCGCGGGCGAGAGCGTTTAATGAGGGAAGCTCAGTGAATGTCAAAACCAGCGCGATGCGTCATGCATCACCACTAGCCCTGCGGAGGCGCGACGCGCTGGCACAAAACAGCCGCTGTAACGCAGTAAATCACTGATCCTATCTGAGTGTATATTTTTAAGACTGAGACCATACAAATTTACCAGTGCCTTCATCCATACTAAACATGTAATAAACAACCGAAAAAACAACGCGCTAAGTTTCTTAGCAAATAATTAAGTCAGCTCCATGTGTCGTAAGAAGCGCCACCATCTCTCCTTGTCGCCAGCAGAGGGCGCGCGCGCATTGTTTGGAGCGTCGCGCCTCTCCCATGCCTCGGGTGCCGTGTACGCACGCCAGCAACCTCTTTCAAGCATGGATAAGGATTATTCATTTTGACCGTGTCTGGTTAATTTAGGGATTTGAGAAACGACCGGCCTCAATCCCTATACTATATAACACAATAGTATTGACTGAACCTGTACAGCCCTAGATGTTTGTAAGTAAAATGCAGTCCTGGATAGGCAAAGACACAGGCAACAAATCATTCTAATCTCTTTTAATCTTATGTGAAACTTTTTGTCCCCAGAGAGAACATAAATAGATTTTCCTTCTGTGGTCCATACAAATGTGGTACATTGTTTTATAGTATATTTAGGGTAATTTATTCTATAGTTTATTCTTCCCAGTTCTCCTCTTTATTACTGGTTTGCATGAAAACGTGAGTCACAATATTATTCTGAGTGTGTACTTATAAAATAAAGTCTAAAACAGTAACATACATTAGATACGACTTTAGATTTAGAAGGTAAATTTAGATGTTAATTATAAAGCTTCTGTAATATCTGCATATACAATTTATATTAAAATTATTTATTGGTTATCATTGTATTGATCTTCAAAGTCATGTGTTCCGAACAAACTATGTTAATATCAACAACAGCCTTTTAACTTAAGCAATTCAAACAAAATGCCTAAAAAAATAACATCTGAAAATCTTAAGTACTGTAAATTAAAGTATTGGACAGTTCTGTTGACATTTCAAGCAGCTAGTTATCACACTTTTAACGGAGAGAATATTTCCCAGGGAATATTTATCAATGTTTAAGTAAATTTTAATTAAGTCATTTTTTTAGGCACATTAAAGGCTACAAAAAGCATTTCCACTTGGCACATCTTGATCTTTTGTGACAACATGCCCCACCTCGCAATTTAAATGCCCTGTTATAGCCTATCATTTTAAATGTAAATAGTAAAACAAATGTGAAACACAAAGTAATTCCTGGAACAACAATAATGTCAAAGGTAATATGCAAAAATATGCACATTTCTAATCTTTAAAACACATTTTAGTTTGGAGCAAAAACTATTATTCTAGAACTTTTTGAACTTTTTAACATAAAATAATCGTTGTTAGAGAAATAATTTCCTCTAATTAGAATAAAATGTTCTCAATAAAAAATGTGAATTACCGTTGATGCAAAAAAACACTACATGTGGAATGCCTATGACGTAACCAATTAAAAAAAGAAAGAAAAAAATAATAAAAAAGCTTCACATAGATATTTCTTCTCTGTGCAACCCCGTCTAACCTCGGTGTTTTCGTTACAGTGGTCGCCCGGGCCTCACGTGCGGGTTCTGGCTAAAGCTGCGCGTTGACTCTAAGAGTCGAGTCGTGAGGCTCGCGCACGCGTCACTCCCACCACCCAAGCCACCGATAACCGGAAGCGACTATCATCCGTGATATTTGGGGAGACTAACGACAGCTGAGAGCGCCTTTCAGTGGATAAAAACATCGCCGTGCCCTCTCAATCTGTTTGACAACAACCGCGTTTTAGTGGAAGAAAAACCACAATAGACGGAACTAAGGGTAAAACGAAGTTATTAGAAATCACCATCATCCAGGTTCGATCCTGACAAGCATTGCTATGGTGAGTAAAAGATCAATCCAGAAACGTCTAGAAAGGCCTGCCACAAGAAAATCATATTTTTTGTGTGTCTTATATAGATTTAAGACCGCCAAAATCATGAAAATATTGTTGTAAAACTGTTATAAATAAGTCTATATGTTTGTCTCAAAATAGGCATTTTTTGTCAAAAGACAGTTGGATGATTAGGACTTTGCGTCCTTTAGGCAAATGAAGAATATGATTATGCATACATTTAAAGGTCATCCTCTGACTGCTCAACAGAGTGGAATTATGATCAGTTAACGTAAACAAATAATTAATCGTATCCATGTAAAGATCACGGAGGCTGAGGCATATGTTTGCGCAGTAGCCTAATTCGGATCATCCAGGCACTTATAAGGAGTTTAAACGGGATTTGGATCGCATTTAGCCATATCAGGGATTTTACAAAGGATTTGTGAATGTAAAAAACTGGACAGATGTTTGGGTTTCTGTCCGCTGGTTGCCTATGGAGATGATGATGGTGGTGCTGAATTTGGCTGATCTATCAAAATTAGAGAGATGCTGTTTGGACGAAGGACTGCAGTCGAGTTGTTTTAAGCTTAATGGATCAACACCTCTTGTTTTGAGATTTTCACAAGACGTTGAATGTCCACATAGCACATTAATTATATTGATAATGATTGTCATTGAAAAGAGGAGCAAACGCGACCCCCTCCTTCCCTCACATTTCCACACCCCACCCACTGTCGCACACTGGCTGTAAACGAGAAGGGGGTGAAAACACAATCCGAGGACACCAATACGTGCCAATTTGCGGTGTTAATGCGAACCTTTATGCCTCTAAAACTCGTTTGCGGTGGGGACATTTTTGGTCAGTGAAAAAAGGCACGC